GATTGTGGAGCAGTTGGTGGAATGGAGATTGGCAGGGGAAACCGAAGTACTCGGAGAAAACCTGCCCCAGCATCACTTTGTCCACCACAAATTGCACTTGACCAGACCCAGGATCGAACCCAGGTCGCTGAAGTGGGAAGCCAGTGAGTAACCGCTTGAGCTATGGCGCAGCCCATACATGGTGATGCTCCATCATAAGGTGAATTTTTGTGCTATGCATACATATATTACATATTTTTTAAAGATCATATTTAGAATAATGAATACCATGAGAAACTAGATATGCAGTTCTTAAGCATCTCTGAACAAGTCTGGGCAATGTGTATTGCAACAAGCAAATCCATCCACCTATGTGTAGTGCTGAATATCTGGAAAGTAGCGTACTTTAATGCAACTGTATCTCAACCAGACCCCCTCAGGCAAACCTTCTAGAACGCTGAGGTATACATGTACATATGGTGATTTGGTCAGTCTGGGTGTGCAGTGACATGTGAATGGAGGTATTTTCTGAAATGCGATAAATCAAGACACATTTGAATATATTCTAAATATTCATAGGTCCCACAAGGTTCATAATTATCAATAATTAGTAAACCCACAGTTCAGATGCCTAAAAATGTTTGAATATATTCAAGGTTTGGAACATTTTGTAGATTCAGTAATTTGACAATATGCAGGAGTTTTAGAAAATTAGAAATTTTCTGAAATTACAAGTTCCAAGTAGATGGGAAGTGATCTAATACACCAGCTGGCTTAGCTCATCCTAACATAATGCCATCTGGCCATGTCCCGCTTGAATTAGAAGGTGGATATACAGTAGTCCAATACACAACCAAAATCTAGCCTAACCTAATGTATACCATGGCCAAACTGAGCTCGTTCTGTCTAAACGCACAAGCAGATTCCCAGTGTTCTGTTACAACAACCTAAATGAAGCTAAGAAGAGTTCTGTCTTCTGGGCTATACTGACGATTGTCTCTGTGGTATAGTGGTCAGAGTTCCTGTCTGCAGATCCAGAGGTCCAGGTTCGATTCCAGGCGCTACCAGATTTTCTGAGAAGTAGTGGGTCTGGAACGGGGTCCACTCAGCCTCATGAGGATAGTTGAGGAGCTACTTCAAGGAAATAACGGCTCCGGTCTAGAAAACCGAGATTAACGGCCATAGGGATTTGTTGCGCTGACCACGTGACACCCTCTATCTGCTAAAGTCGGCTCTAACTTCGCCGACAAGCGGCAGTCGCTCGCTCAAAATAATTCACTTGCGGACTAAAACCCCGGAGTTTATTTTGTGTTTGGGATATAACACCATGTAGTCTGTTGAAAGTTAACCCACGTTTCAGAGGAACGTGTCATCTCCATTCCCAGGGTCAAAATTTAAGCAAAGAAAGAAACCAGGATAAAGACAGCAGCAAACCAACTACCGGCTTCATGCATATTCCTTGACGTTGTAGCTGGAAGCGACATGTTCCTCAGAAACATTAGTTAACTTTCAGCAGACTGTACAGAGATATATTCCAGAAGATGGAACTCTTCATCGCCACCCCTGTGAGAACCTCAGCTGCACCATAAATGCAGTTAGAGGTCTACTGCCGCAACGCTTAATGTAACGGAAATGGAAGGGTGATGCAATTGAGAAACAGTGGGGACCAAACATAATTGAGCCGCACTATAATGGGAGCTGAAGCTGAGCTTTTTCTGACCAAAGCCGATCTTTAGCCCGTGTCATGGCTCAGATGGTCAGTCGCCGGGTTCCCACCGCGGTAGCCCGTGTTCGGTTTTCTCTGAGCATTTCGGTTTCCCCTGCCAATTCTCATTCCACTAAATGCTCCATACCCACCTATCGTCCGGGGCCTGAACAGTAGGTCAGTTAGTGGCCGACTTATCAAGTGGACTCAGTCTCGTCACACGAACGTTACCGATGCGGGCGAAATTTCTGGACTAATGTTACAGTAAGACCATGTCTTATCTGTATCTTAAAGAACTGCTGAAATTGATGTCCATCTGTGTAGAAAATTAAGAAATTTTGGGGCACTCTCTGCGGTACACCGTTTCTGGTATTGCGTATTGCATTTCCAATTTCATTCTGTAGGGCCTCAGAGATATTCGGATTGTTGCTGTACACTGAAATCTGGCGAACGAGGCGGCCATATTCCGGGCTAATTATCCTTTCACAAAAATATGTCATGAAGAGCCTCCATATATGGGCTTTTGAGTTATCCTGCTGCAAATACGCGTATTGCTTCACTTATTCAGTGAGCATTTGAAAGGACTGTTCTAATTATTTTACGCTTAATTCTTCTGAGTTCATCGTGTTGCAAAAAGGTACAGCTAAAATTATTCTCCGACCACTATCTGAAAAAAAACACCCGCTGTTTGGTTACGAAGTTGAACTTCATGTATCCTACTGTGTGTGGATTTTCGGCGTACCAGTGACGGAAGTTATGTACATTCACATAACCACTTAGATGTAACCAAGCTTCATCGTAATTAAAGGAAGCGTTTGATCCACAGTTCTGTCGTCCAACGACGAGTGTTTATGCGCGCAACCAGATCTGCAGGAATCAACTTCTGGNGAAAACCGATATTAACGGCCGTAGGGATTTGTTGCGCTGACCACGTTACACCCTCTATCTGCTAAAGTCGGCTCTAACTTCGCCGACAAGCGGCAGTCGCTCGCTCAAAATAATTCACTTGCGGACTAAAACCCCGGAGTTTATTTTGTGTTTGGGATATAACACCATGTAGTCTGTTGAAAGTTAACCCACGTTTCAGAGGAACGTGTCATCTCCATTCCCAGGGTCAAAATTTAAGCAAAGAAAGAAACCAGGATAAAGACAGCAGCAAACCAACTACCGGCTTCATGCATATTCCTTGACGTTGTAGCTGGAAGCGACATGTTCCTCAGAAACATTAGTTAACTTTCAGCAGACTGTACAGAGATATATTCCAGAAGATGGAACTCTTCATCGCCACCCCTGTGAGAACCTCAGCTGCACCATAAATGCAGTTAGAGGTCTACTGCCGCAACGCTTAATGTAACGGAAATGGAAGGGTGATGCAATTGAGAAACAGTGGGGACCAAACATAATTGAGCCGCACTATAATGGGAGCTGAAGCTGAGCTTTTTCTGACCAAAGCCGATCTTTAGCCCGTGTCATGGCTCAGATGGTCAGTCGCCGGGTTCCCACCGCGGTAGCCCGTGTTCGGTTTTCTCTGAGCATTGCGGTTTCCCCTGCCAATTCTCATTCCACTAAATGCTCCATACCCACCTATCGTCCGGGGCCTGAACAGTAGGTCAGTTAGTGGCCGACTTATCAAGTGGACTCAGTCTCGTCACACGAACATTACCGATGCGGGCGAAATTTCTGGACTAATGTTACAGTAAGACCATGTCTTATCTGTATCTTAAAGAACTGCTGAAATTGATGTCCATCTGTGTAGAAAATTAAGAAATTTTGGGGCACTCTCTGCGGTACACCGTTTCTGGTATTGCGTATTGCATTTCCAATTTCATTCTGTAGGGCCTCAGAGATATTCGGATTGTTGCTGTACACTGAAATCTGGCGAACGAGGCGGCCATATTCCGGGCTAATTATCCTTTCACAAAAATATGTCATGAAGAGCCTCCATATATGGGCTTTTGAGTTATCCTGCTGGAAATACGCGTATTGCTTCACTTATTCAGTGAGCATTTGAAAGGACTGTTCTAATTATTTTACGCTTAATTCTTCTGAGTTCATCGTGTTGCAAAAAGGTACAGCTAAAATTATTCTCCGACCACTATCTGAAAAAAAACACCCGCTGTTTGGTTACGAAGTTGAACTTCATGTATCCTACTGTGTGTGGATTTTCGGCGTACCAGTGACGGAAGTTATGTACATTCACATAACCACTTAGATGTAACCAAGCTTCATCGTAATTAAAGGAAGCGTTTGATCCACAGTTCTGTCGTCCAACGACGAGTGTTTATGCGCGCAACCAGATCTGCAGGAATCAACTTCTGGATTACCGACAGTTTGTAAGGATGAAACCCGTTTCTCGTACACATTTCCGATTTCCAAACCGATTCCGCAGAATCATATACGATATTTGCAGGAATTTAGTGAAATAATTTCTGTAATGGCGGATTCCTACATGAATTTGAACTTCAAATATGCGTTTTATTGAATTTGCACGGACCCCAAAGCACCGAACAGCTTTGATGAAAGAGCATGGAAAGTCCTCGGTTCTTAACTCTGCCGGGAGTAGCCGACTACCCTGACTGGAACTCTAAGGTCAGTTCTTATGTTTTACAATGTAATGCCTCTATAATAGCCTGAAAAGAAGCCTTGATTTTCTTCGGTACAAGTCCTTACTTACTTGGCCATCATGAACGTATTTCAGTCTAATTCGACGCCATTTAAGATGTACATATGAAACAGCGACGATAAGTGTAAGTAATGGCGGATTCCTATATAAATTTCTAAATTAATCATGCGTTTTATTAAAACTGTAGTCAGTCTTAAAACCACACAGATCTACAGCAATCTTTTCGATATCAGTGATAATTTAGCGTGATCCTTGGCAGTAATTGAAATTACGGCCCCAACTTCATATGTTTTCTCTTTCCTGGTATAAGTACCATATGGAAATTTGACTCTTTTTTGCCCTTTTTTGGTCTCATATTTTTTTTGCCCTCTTTCGCATTCTTTCTATGCTGAGTTTTAGAGTTTGGAGCGAAGAATTAAATTTGGAATGAATATTTACACATCATACATTGAAATTGGTGACCACTTTTTAGGAATCATTCCCAGAACATGCGTTGAAGGGGGTGGGCGCATTTGTTAGCTATTTGGCTGGTTGATTACGTGAGCACTACGAGTGTTGAAGTATAGCTGTGACGGCTGCAACTCTGCTGCCGCAGGTCACTTGCCATTGGAACCGGACCAGCGATCACCTGTGCAGGGTCAGTGGCAATGAACTGATCGGGTTCAGTCGCCTAGCCAACGTTTGCTTGTGAACATGTCTGCAATGGTCCTCGTTTCGCTATTCGCAGCCTCATGGCTTCTGAGACTGTGCTGCCCAGCTACAACAGAGCCACTGCAATCATCGTGGATTGTAACCACAGAGGAGGCAAGGTGAATGCACTTACTAACGTCACAGAGTCGTTAATGTTTTATGCATAAAAAACAGTATCTTATATTTAACAATGAGTTCTGAGAATAACTAATCACCTACTTCCCCTTGATACGACACGGATCGCATGGAAAAACGCCTCAAAACATCCTGAGATCCCACGGGCACATGTTTACCGAGATGTTGCCTAGCAACGTTAGCGGGATAGACGGAGGGACCCACAGACGCACGCGTCCAACAATTCTGTTGTTACCTGTATTCGTTGCCGCTGGATCGTGTTTACCAAACAGTTGCATGCCAGTGAAAGGAGGGCTACAGTTTACCAAGCCTTTTCCTAGCAACAATAGGAGGGGTGCACATGCAGACACACAGACTGATGGAGGGATTTATGAAGTACGCCGTTGAAATGAGCTCAGGTGGCGTGATGTGCATTCCGCTAGAGCAGTGAACTTAGTCACAAAGTATGTTTTAATTGGCAGTAAATTAGGAGCAGGGATAGTGCTCTGATTATAACTTAATAGAGCACGGCTTTACACGGTTAATAATTGCGGGTTCATTATTTTAGTTAATTTCTGTTAATCATGCAGGTACAAGTTATAGTCTGAATAGTTAACTAGGAGGTATGATTCTAAAGAGTTCTGACAATGGTGGATAACAAACAGAATTACTGGGTTTTGGGACTTTTTCCATCGTCCGAAATTCTAGGAAATAGAAAACACGACGTTTCGGAAGCTGGATCTGTTTCCGTCTTCAGGTGAAAAAGGAAGACGCCTACTCAGATGGGCCCCTTAGAAAGAGCTAATCTCAGTCACTGGACGTCCAAGAAGCGGGTTTGGATTGGCGAATCGATTTATTGGATATTCTCATCAAGTCGGCACTACAGTTAGTTATAACACTATTAATCTTACTGTAACTATAATACGTCTGTCTGTTGAGTTCTCTTCAACTTCAAGTTGCTCTCTCTGCTGCTCTCTGGGTACTGCCTGTGTCTGTTCTAATTCTGAGTTTTATGATACGATGGAGGGTCATTTGGCCAGTGTCATGGAATAAAGCACCCACCTGAAGCTTATGACCAGATTTTTATTACTGTCAGACAGTTGTGGGTTTGTTGATGTGGGGCCCCCACTCTGATGAGAGGACGGGTCTCTCGTTTACAATTCAAGAACTTTATCTTCCGGGATACGGCGCCATGTAGCCTGGAAGAAGTTTATTGAAATTTCTAAGAAGATATTGCCTCCATCTTCGGGGCCGAAGATTGGGCCAAGAAATAACCAGAATTTTCGGAAACGTAAGTAAACTTTTACCAGACTACACGACGTCACATATCAAATAGTAGTAGTACTGATGGTCAACGACATGAGGACCTCATGTCACAATGCACAAATTGGGAAGAACCTTGTTTTTAATATCTAAACATCTGTGTGTGCAAGATTAAATTCTTTTCACGGACAAGACCCCGGATCTGCGTTCTCGTAACATTCGTTATGCAGTTACCTCAGGAGGACTCTAGCAGCTCGGCCTGTCACGTTTCAGTTCCCTGTCTGTGGCTGATAATGAACTGCAAACATCATATATCGGCCCCCAGCCAACAATCTACGGAGAAACGACTGTCACAGGGGACGGAACAGAGCCCCCAGTGACAGACCAGAATGGGCTTACCACACTTCTGTTGTATAAAGAGTATGATTCCGGAACAAAATTACACTCAACGGACAAACCAGAATCAGAAAACGACTCGTCCGTGTTTCAAAATAAGGTAAGTGACATATTTTGAGCACATGTTTTATTTCAAGCGAAATATTTTCTATCGGCAATACTGCTAATTTACATAAATGTGATTGCTCGAAATTTGGAGGCGTTACTTTGTAGAGACCAAGATCGCCTTTTTCTTAGGACCACATAAATTGGGTTTTCGGCGCCGACATACGAAATCAGGGACTGGAATTTACGTGCAGTATATGGAACTTTCATCTTTTGGAGGCTAAAATCACCAGAACCTGTGAAGTTCTTAGTTCTTAAAAACTGGTGTTCTTCCGAACAATATGTACAAATTCACTTCATATCCCAAAGGAAATACATTACGCCTCCACTGCGAAGATCAGCCGGATAATTTTGTTTAGGGAAATAACTGTTTATTGTGAGAACAGTGTGAAACACACAAATACACCCTGTGAGCAGAAACCAGTGTTTTAATATGTTAAAGCAGGCAGTACATATAGTAACCACTGGGCTTTAAGGGGTTAAGTTATAACTGCTGGCGGGGAGCAGTTAAAATATTTCTAAACATTCAAATACTAGTCTAGAAAGAGAAGATCTGTAATTCCGAGGTTCCATTGTACCTGAAAGATATTTTCACAAGGCATGGCAGTAGGCTACATTACCTGTTAGCTATGGTCCAGTGCTTGGCTGAGTGGAAAAGTGAACCTTCTAAGAAAACAGTTCCTCAGGAAAACATTTCGACCTCTAATGAAAGTAAGCCCAGCATATTGACTAATGGTCAAAATAAGAAAATCGTAAATTACGCAACTTGGTTCAATCGCTCACATGAAAGAAAATGTAGTTTCCCCAGTGTTCAAATAATCAACATGCAGTTGGCTGGTTTGTCCGAGAGCCAATGTGGGCGTGAAGGGAAACAGAAGATTTTGCCCCTGCCGAGTATCTAAGCCCGGCAATCCAGCCAGAGCCAAGTTGCTACATCGCTAGAGCTACTCCGGCCCCTATTTTATGGGCAGTGTTATTAATTTATTTTTCAATTTATTAACGATGTTATAGAAGGTCGAATGAGAACATAATTATGATTGATATTCAGAAAATGCTGAAGGTAGTGGTCATTACGAATTTTAGAACACGGCCCCAGACATGTTTGCAGGAACCGGATAGAACTACGGGAAATATTTTCCCCGAAATCCGGCCTCCAGGGCCCAGACTCCAATAAAAAATTTGACTTCTACGGAATGGGTATGCAAATCAATAAGCCGCGACGTTCGATTTTCGAATCAAGAAGTTCTGATGGACTGAACATGTAGCATTGGTAGTGAAGCCACATATCTTCACAGAACTTTGGTAGGAGAACTGTTACCGTGAAGACAGGGACAAATGTAGTGTTTAAAATGGAACTTATGGATTATGTTGTGAGTATGTGAATGGCTTAAAATGCCTCATTATGATGTACGATGGCGGCTGGAGGTCATTTCTATGGATTCTTAAGGTCTGAAGGGTTTTATTTTCACAAAACATATTCCGCGGTACAACTCTCGTAACTGGAAGGAATTCTTGAATTATTGCACGTCGCCGCCCAACACACGTTTAACCTTATGACTTAAAAATATTTATGTTACAATGTAACATAATTATGCGTTTATTTCTTCAACCTTTCAATTGGCAAATGACTTCTTCAGAATATTTTGCCCTATACGGACTACGTCATCACGCCTACATATTGTAACCGTCCAAACCTTTTAATACTCTTTAATGGACACCATGTTCCACGTTAGTCATTTCAATAGAGTGACTGATTTATTAGGGAGACCCATCCATTAAGAAGTTGACATGCTTTTCGCATTTAGACAGGAAGTTGTTTTGTTACCTGCAGCTTGGGTGACCACAAGAGGGTCGAGGCAATTATGAAAGGACATGTCTGTAGTTGCAGAACATGTAAATGTTGTTTTGTTAATAGGGTAGCTGTTATAAAAGTGTCTTCGGAAGGGTTAATTAGACCCTAAACTAAGAAATAACCGCTTTCACATGTAGGGTTCCAGGTTCAATATCTCTGTATCTCTTCATTCTAAAAGTTAGTAATGTGATTGTCTTGTACTGATGGTATGATGAATTGGCAGTTAAAATCAGCCATTAGAAAACTATTCTTGTCTGGGGAGAAAGGCCGTCTTCAGATCCTATACAGTGGATGAAGTGACGCTCCCGCAGAATAGAAGCAGAGAGACTTGGCATTTTGAATTCACCAGAGGCAGACGTCATTTACCTGCTGTCTCCAAGTTCATCTAAATTTAACATACTTTATTTGGTTCGATTAATCTTTGATAATAAAAAAGGGCACATTACTCCCTACTTGCCAATAGAGATATAGTGTTTGCTTTTGAATTAAACAATATTGTGATTAAGCAGAAATAGAGTATTTTATTTCTATCAGTGGACTAGCTTTAAATATGTAGTCTCCTTGTCGCCCCAGTTATTACCGTGGCACAACCCTGAGAAGAGTCAAAAGTGTTCTACCGAAGCGGGCAAATAAATAAGTCAAGTGTTCTACCGAAGCGGGCAAGTAAATAAACATAAAGATAGATAGGCAACGGTCACGAGAAATGGTGAACAGCGGTTGTAAGAAGTGACAGCCGAAGTGCGGTTGTAATATATTCCAGATATTAATTATTACTGTTTAATTTTTAATGATAAATATTTTCTTTTCTCTCAGTATTGTTATTTGTAAAGTGATTTACTTTGGTTCTTTTATTAGTATATTAGTTTATATATTAGAAAGCTGTTCTATTCCTGATTCTTTATGTAGCGGACTCTTCATTTTCCCGAATTGTAATTTTGCTGTCCTTTTCTGTCTTCGTTGTTTACTGCCGTGTGTAGATATTTTGATGTACATTGTATTTGTGTACCTATTCCTCTACTTCAACCGAGATGAATGAAGTCTTCCGGTATAGTCAGTTCAAGAACTAATTTCTGAACAAATTCATTCTCCATATGTTTGACAGAATTCACCGAGCGGACGATCTGCCTATCACAAGGTCTCTAGCGACACGTTAATTCTACAGCACAGTGTAGAAAAACGAGTTATTCTTGCCAGGAGTTTGAACATTACCATAAAAACTACCGGTAGTGAAAAACGCACAAAAACATTCGATCCCTACGGAATTGCGACTTCGGAGTTTCCTTGATTTTATTCCGTTAGAAATGGTTTAATCATTGGACACTTTTGCCTCAAGAACGGTACGTTAAGTTGAAGTTATTAGTTCACACACATCACGATATGGTGTGAAAGTGATATAAAGTTCTTCAAGTTCAGTGCCGCTTACGCGGCCTGAAGCCATAGATTCTTGCTGCAAACCGGTTACACGCCCGCTGTGGGCATTTGAACTCTGTTATGTTCATTTCCTCTTTCTGAAGCTCTGCGCTAGTGACGAGAAGTCACAGGACAAGTATGACTAAATGACAGTTATTTTAAGGTTATCTCGATATTACAGCTACCAGTATTTCGATTTAAACATACACAAGATGCCATATGAAGGACTGGGATGTAATCTTAAGATTCAGCATTGATTCTCAGCAAGTTCATTTTCTCACACTCACAGATCTGTTGTCGTTGCAATCGAGTTGTTAGAAATTTTGGGGAAGGGGATGATTTTTAATTTCAAGCTGGAAACTAAATATATTAACTGAAGATTTTCTGGTTTATCTCAGCCTTCCCAACAGTACCCAAAATAGGCTATAACATTTTCCGTCCACGTCATTTCCCTTGTGGAAATGAAACATTTTAACTGATAAATTTTCATTTTTATTAATTTTTCGTAATCCCCTTGCACAAATTTATATGTGCTTATATCATATGTGGAGGTTTATTACTCTGTAGTCAAATGAATTCTCTTGCTTTCTTTTTACCTTTAAATGTAATTTCTTTACATTGTCATAGAATTGCATATAGTAACTTCCTGTGTATCAGAATTGACTTCTTCTGCTGTTGGCCAGCAGCAACAAAAGAGTTCCGAAAAGTAAGATAACACAGTTACTCACTGCCAGACGTTTTATTCAGCAAAAATGAACGTGGTTATGGCCGAAGCCCCATAAATACACGTACATTGTTTCTGAAAACCGTTACTAATTGGCTCTGCTAGTCGTTGACATATGGCAAATCTACCAAAACGCTGGTACTACAAAAAGCGCGATCATGAGTGGTAGTTCAATCAGTAACTCTGTATTTTCAAATTACCTAATCCTTCCAGCCGCACTATGGCCATTGGATCAACTCAGCCTCTGACCGGAATGAGTACCAGGAATATTCTTGGGGGTAACGGGTGGCCGGCGCGTAAGGCTGACAACCTTACCGCCACCTATGAGCCGAGTGTCTAGAAAATATGGGGACCTCAAGATCTCACAACCCTATGGGCCTCCGCGGCCTGTTACAGGGATACCTTTACTTACTTTTCATGTTAATAATATGAAGAATGTAATCATTTTAATGCACTGCAATACTTAATTGCAATCAGAAAGGAGCTGAAACAGAAATACTCTTCTGCAAAATACGTGTATGAAGTGTGAGTTAATTAAGACAGTATTTAATGTTAATGTTTACTTTCATTGACAGGTTTCCAATCCAAAATGTACTTCAGCCAATGAGAAGTGCAGCTTAGTCGTAAATGTGCTACACGTGCGCTCTGACATAAAATACCGGTATGCTAGAACTGTGGTCTACAGTAAAATTGGAAATGCAGGGAATACCTCAAACCAGGCAACATTCAGTGTGACACTGCCTGACACAGCTTTCATCACCAAATTCTTTATGTGAGTGCATCTCTAGACTGAAGGCTGCCAATATTTGATGCCACAGTTGCTATAAGTGCTCTGCTAAGTGATTAACTAAATCTCGTCAGCTCTAGCTACTTTAATGCAAGTATGCAAAATTAATCTAATCAGCTCATTGTGTGCAAAGGATGAAGACAGACCTACTATAAGCTATCATTTCAATGTCACAATTTAATGTCTAATTTCACTTATGTTTGGTTAAGTTTATTTATGATTTATGTTACAGTGAAATGGGTGGAAAAGTATATGAAGCATATATTAAGAAAAAGGTCCAAGCAGATAAAGAATATCAGGAAGCTTTGGAGTCTGGTCATACTGCAGCACATGTCAGTGCCAGGTAAGCTCTTGTTTGACTCAAAAGAGATTTAATGACTCATGCAAATGAAATAATTCATAAATATTTTGGTAAAATAGAGCCTGGTGTCAGAGATAATAAAGTTAAAGGTAAAGCTATCCCTGTAACAGGCCATGGAGACCCACAGGGGCTCCTACATTTTCTAAACAATCGGCACACAGACGATGGTGAGGTCATCAGCCTAATATGCTAACCTCCCTTTACCACCAGAAAGTTTCCTGGTACTCATTTCTGTTAAGTGAAAAATGAAATGACCTCATCAGAAATCAAACCCATGACCTTCCTGCTTGTAACACAGTGCCTTAACCATCTACACTACCATATGCCCATGGTAGCAAAGATAAGAAAAAAAAAAGAAGAGAAACAATACAAATGCAAATTTCTAAAATGCCTGCCTGTATATACACGATTAGATACAATTAAGTACTTGTACTCATGTGAATGTAAAGTAAATGATACTTACTTTTGTTGGCTATTTTCTGACACTTTTCTTATCACAGACTATACATTATCAGATGGTATGATGATAGATGAATGCTGGATTGGGGGGGATTTGGAACGAAGTGGTCAAGAATTTTCCTGATTAGACTAAGGAAGGCCACAAAATATCCCAGTCATGATAGCTGGTGCCCTTTCCGACATTCAAATCAGGTGTCTCCTAAATACAAGTTTAAAGAATTACCATGTAGGAAGTCAATTACCTGTTGTCTCCCACATTGGGTGCCACAGTGACGTAGCTGTCCATCCCTCATGTTTTGTGACACAATTGCTGTGGCCATTCACGCCCTCTAGGTGACAAGATATGCTCCAGTAGGCTAGCTCCCTTATCATCAAAATTTCCATGGATAATTTTACATCTAATTGTACACGTTGTGCACCATCTGTGATGTATGTATATTGGTTTAAACCTTCTCATTCTTTAGTTGTGTAGAAAGGGAATTAAAATAGAATGGTGTTAGGGATTGGTATCTCAGGTATGAAAATATTATCTAAGATTTGAATGGACACTAGCAAGATGGATGGGAATCAGTGTGAGACTTGGATATGGCTTTGAGGAAATTAAACGCAAGTTTTAGAATACCAAAACAATTATTGGCTGCTAGAAGTGTTCACATGCAAGTTCTTGTAGAAGTTCACCCTTGCACTATTGCAGCTTTGCCTCTCTTGGCCTTCTTGTAATGCCAGTAATATATACATGTAGAAGCATCTTGTTACTTACTTTAATCACTATTCACTCAGCATCTAATTTACACAAATGTATGTTTATATGTTGCTGTTGCAGTTCTAGTTACTTGGTAATCACATTTCAAAATGATGGTAGAAATCTGGAATAGAGTTCGCATGTTAGTTTCTAGTTCATTATTTGGATCAGTCTTACTAGAATTAAGTGGCTTGCTGTAGCTGCTATATGACCACCCTTTGTACGTAAAATGTCTTCCACTAAATGGGTCTTGAAAGAAGAATGAATAAAAGGTGCAATTGACGGAACAGTGAATGCAGGCAGCCTAGTGCTAAGTGATGTAATACCAAACACCAAATGTGTCATGTCGTATAACTGTAAAGCGTTAAATAACTTTGATGGGTGGTATAACTCAGAGTTTGAATTAGATTTAAAACCCCTGGTTGGCAAATAATCCCACTATCATTCTCTCCTGGGTAGGATTCAAATCTTATTTGTTAAACAAAAAGAAAATCAGTATATAGCATCGCCATCTTTTTGTCACATCTATAATGGATTAGGTCTAAAATGTTACGTGCTTTGCCACAATATTATCTTCAGAAATGTAACTGTATTAATACATTTTCAATAACTACAAAGGCTTAAGAATGCTTGATGTGTTCTGAGTTTATTTAACAGCACTGTTTCCTCTGCCAATTGTATGAATTTCAAACTCTCAGATCTTAATTTCTTTTATGATCCATATAAAATTTTAGTCTTCGAGTAACTCTTTTCTAAGATTTTCCAACACAGAAATCTGTATATATTCCTTGTATTCTCATGCAGGTTTCCCATCATAAGCTGCTTGAGTTCACTACCCTCACAGTACTAGGTTACCTGTATCAGCACATCTTAAATTACCACATTTCAGAGCACAATGAAAAAACGGGCAGCATTGTTGTTTTTATATATTTAGTTTATATGTATGGTATAACATTTGTCATGGATCAGTAAGAAAGTCTTTACTTGATTAGCAAGTGCTATAATTTGTTGTGTGAGTCAGGGAAACATGTTATTTTACAGTGTACGAAATTCTAACACATTTGAGGTGTCTGTGAATGTGGCAGCAAGAAGTAAAATAGCCTTCAATTTGACTTATGAAGAGTTGCTGACTCGACAGCTGTCTGTTTACCACCACACCATCTCTCTCACACCCAGACAGGTATTGGTCAAATATTGGTATACGTTCCTTTATTCATTTAGTGACTCTGTAAACTCTTAACTTTATAGAAGTGACAATGTGATTATGCATGATGAATTGGAAAGGAAATGGGAGAAATGATTACCTGTGGTTCTGTATGGGTGTGAAACTTGGTCTTTGACATTAAAGGAGGAACATAGACTGAGGGTGTTTGAGAACAGGGTGTTGAGGAGAATATTTGGACTGAAGAGAGATGAAGTCACAGGAGGTTGGAGAAAACTGCATAATGAGGAGCTTCAGAACTTGTACCCTTCTCCAAGTATATATAGAATGATCAAGTCAAGGAGGATGAGGTGGGAAGGTCATGTAGCACGAATAGGGGAGACAAAGAATGCATATAGGATATTGGTGGGAAAGACAGAAGGAAAGAGACCACAGGGAAGACCAAGGCATACGTGGGTGGACAATATTAGAATGGATCTTAGAGAGATAGGATGGGATGGTATGGATTGGATAGATCTGGCTCAGGATAGGGACCAGTGGAGGGCTCTTGTGAACACAGTAATGAACCTTCGGGTTCCACAAAATTCTGGGAAATTCTTGAGTAGCTGCAGAATTGGCGGCTCCTCCAGAAGGGCTCAGCTCCATGAGTAAGTAAGTAAAGGGGAGAAATGATTATTGCCTGAAGTGACTGAAGAAAATAATGAGAAATAATTGAGACAGCTAGTTACCCAGGTTAAGACTCAAACAAGTGACCTTCTGTATATTAAGCTTTGCTGCTGACCTCTATTTTGCAATTTTTGATATTCTGCTGTGCTGTGTGAACTTTATGCCATAAGAGTTACATTATAACCACTGTTCTATATCTTCAGTTTATGAATTACATTAATTATTATTACAACTGATTTCTTACTTGATTAATTTCCTCTTTTGCAAGAATTTTTTACAAAGTTCTTGTAGTAAAATTCAAAATACATTTATTTTCTCCTAAAATGTGTTACTGCATGTCCAGTTTATTACAATTACTATTGCAACCTGTGCATTCTAGGTGAAGTATATAAATATTGAAATATTGTGCACACTTCACTCCATGCACAAAATGAATGTTGAGTTGGGAGAAACTGTTGGTATATTCATATAGACTAGATATCTTGATCAGGTGCATAGCGCTCCTGCTTAATGTATGGGAGGTCCCAGATTCGGATCTCAGCCCAGAGACTGGTTGTCCTGAATAATTTTGTTCATTGTTTTCATCAATCGCTCCTTAGGCCACAATCTCAAATTAGACAATGACTGCTTTCTCCAATTCTTTCCCATTTTATTATTCATTAAATATCCTGTAATTCACTACATACTGTAATCTGAGGTATGACAACATTATTAAGTAAACTAAGAAGAAATACTTCAAGAGCCATTTAGTGATCCATCAATCCTTCCATCTTTCCATCTTCCCATTCATTCTCTTGATGGTTCTGGGTGAAATTATTTTGATATGCAGTAAATGTTTTCAGGTATTTTGTCTGCTGTAGAATGCATGCCTTCAAAACAGCATGTAAGAATATTTCTTGTGGCTCATCAATAGTACAAATAATCAGAAATTAGTTGGTGAAAGTAAAGTAAAGTAAAACTATCCCTGTAACAGGCCGTGAAGGCCCATAGGATTGTGAGACGTTGAGGGTCCCACATTATCTAGAAATTTGGTTCAAAGATGGCGGTAAGGTTGTCAGCCTTACGCACTGGCCAAGCTTTACTCCCCAGGAAAACTATTTAATTAATTCCTGCTACTCATTTATGTTAGAGACTGAGTCAACCCCAGGGCCATAGTACGACCAGAAGGATTAGGTCAATTGAAAAAAAAATCCAATGATCTCATCGGGACTTGAACCCACGACCTTCCGGCTTGTAGTGTGGTGCCTCAACCAGCTATGCTACCACATGCCCCTGAAATTAGTTAGTAATATGTATAACTAAGTTAATTTCAAATTAATAAAATTTTTCGTAAAGTGTAACAGTATGATAATTACTGTAATACTTTCCTGCTTGCAGGTTGTGCAAGATCTTAATATAGACATATTCATTCAGGAAATAAGAAATATTACACTTCTAAATGTAACAACTTTTGAGGATGGAGGGAAATCAGAATCAGGTAAGCCCCAGAGATATTCACCATATCTGTCTACAGGTCAACTTTTTACAGGGATTTGTGGTAGCATGTGATATTTTCTTCAGCAGTTTTGTCCCCACGTTGTATTTTAAAGTACGCGTAATTTTGCATCTGTACATCTACTCCCCACATGCCTTCATGATGTAATGTTTAATTCATTGAGCACAGGAACAACTTTATTTTTACTTCTTTTCTGAAACTGAATAGCAGCATTCTGCAGTCTCTTAAAGACTCCACACTTCCATGAAATGTCTTGTGCTACTAACAATATCAAATCAGGAAGAGAAATAGAGAGATCACACTGCAATTACGTTGGCAAATGCCCATTTTCTGAGGCCACCCTAGTAGTCTGTTGGTTAACATATAAGAAATACTCCACGTCCTCTCAGTTATATTCCTGTCATCTTATGGTAGGTTTTAATAAGAATAAACTCTCCAGTCAAGACTCACTCATAAGTGCAAGTAAATAGACTAAGGTCTGCGGGTCTTGCTAAATGTAGATCTGTCTCAGTTCATATGGTCATGAACTGAATGGAGCTTTCATCAGCACACAGTCAGATAATCACGGTGTCTCTTTCTGATCATAGCTTGAAGCCACCAAAACACCAACTAATGATTTACAAGTTTGCCAGCAGTGATTAAATCACTTCAAAAATATATGTATTTCAGAAAAACAAGCAGAAGAATTCACATCCCATTTCATTCCCCTTTTATACTCACTAATTGCCTATTGAACAGTCTCGCAAGTCATGGGCTGCTATGGCTCAAGGTAGATGCAATACATAATATATATCTTCCCATTTTGTTGCTCCACTGCAGTGTCTTAACATCATCTTCTATACTTTTATAATCTTTAAGGAATGCATCCTGGTGTGGTTTCTATATAACGTCTTCATTTTGTTTCCATCTCAACACAGCAACTATCAGAATCTCATTCACGTTTACTGTATATAATGAGTTTATTGGTCTTTATAGTGTAATGGATTTGATCAACGTGTTGCCAGGCAACAGTTCTGTAAACACAGTCCAACATGTAACAATAGAGGAAACTGTGTTTTCTGTAGATTTGACCAACATGACAATAGACTGGCTGGGTACCAATCATGTGATATTTATTTGCTGTAAGTCCATGTCCATTTCGCAGCTATATAAGTTAAGTAACAGAGTTTGTTCACAGCAGTTACAAATTATGAGCCAGTCATAAGCTGGATAAGTGAGACCAGAAGATGTTTTGTTCCAAGATTCCAGAGTGATAGAAGACAAAATAGCAGGAAGACTTCATAGTGATTTAAAGTGCTAGTTTCTGCGTTGAGTTCCATTCCCAGGAGAAAACTAGTAAAATTGGAGAAGCCTAGTGCATGTGCAACAGTGAACTGGAAATTGTGTAAATCAGGGATAGCGCTATATTTAAGTGTGATTAAAAGAAATTGTAAAAGAAATGCAAATAAATCCAACCATCCAAACTAGAACCCGTTATTTTTGTCACGCGTACCCCCATACATGTGGCAAGAGTATGACAATGTACTAGATGTTTCAGCTTATAAAGCCATCATCAGGCAGTACATATTAACAAATATTTTCAAGCTATTGAATTGCACTTTTATAAATTCATATATCCATTTATATGTAGAACTAATTTTAATACATTTATAAAGCTTGTACTAATTTAGATGAAAGTTGAATGTATTAACTGAGTGGAAAGTCAAGTTCATTAGTAATAATTTTTGTATTGTAATGTAGGAATTCATATAAAAGGCAATTCAATATTTTGAAAATATTTATTAATGTGTACTGCCTGATTACGGTTTTATAAGCTGAAACATGTAGCACGTTATCATACTATAAAAACCAATAACTTCATTATATACAGTAAATGTGAATAAGATTCTGATGGTCGTTGTGTTGAGATGGAAACAAGAAGAATTTATATCTATACTTCTGTTATTTCTTTTACAGTGTAGGGTTGCAGTACAGCGTTCAATCCACAGAGCATTATGCATTTTAAATATAATTGTGAGAGAGGATTTGATGGACTAGGAGTATGCATATCAGTTTAGATGCAAATGCTTCTGGGTTCAGTTCTGAGTGCTAGCATGAATCTAAAGAAATGTAAAAATAAAAATCTGTAAGAAAATCAATTGCCTGAAGATGGAAATAAAGCCAGCTCCCCAATTACTGTATATGGGGACAGTGTCATGCATAATTTCAATAAAACTCAACTTACTTCTTGAAACTGTCATTTCCTCCTCACTAACTATGGTCATATTGCCATGGCTAGGTCACTTGGAAATACTAGCACTTCCCCCACCCTTAAGGTATTGTTCATACCTTCATGACTCAGTTTCTGTGGCCCCTTTTGTGAGAATGAGGTGTGTCATGTCAAGATGATGATGGCATTAAAGGAGGATGGGCTTAATAAAAGCATGCTATGCCTTATATCTGCAAATGAAAATTCTTGTATAGAGTGAGATAACTTGTGTACTTTCCATTTTGACTGTAGAAGGGGATGGAATCTTGGTGGAATACCTGTCTCCACTGTCAGCTCATGTGCACTATGCCCCAGGTGAAAGAGAACAACAGAATCGACTGGAGTTTGGATTGCAGCAGCTCACTGTTGAATATGATGTAGACAGATCAATAAATCCTGCAGGTGACATCATGGTAAATTGAGAGGAGTTTACTGTTCAATCTAGAACAACCTGGTTCTGTTTATATTGTATTTACAGAGCACTAAGAAGGCACTTCAGTTGGTTCCTGGCCAGCAATAAGGAATCCATTGTGAATCTGAGGATAGGTTTTGAGAACAGGTTTTTCTTCTAGCACTGACGTATCATATATCATTATGATCTGGTAATTATGGTGTTGCTCATTTAAATAGGGCAGAAATTAGAAAGTAATGAAGGAATTGCTAATTTCACCAATAAAACAATTGTATGTAACAGTCTACGGAAAATAACGTGTCACAAGCATGAACTGTGACAGGATTCTGTCCCACAAGAACTTTCTGAACTATGAACCCAGACCAGAGTTTCATAGAGGAACCAGATGGAGCTATTTCTAATAAACAGTGGACCAGGGAGGCTCATGAAAAATTTCTAGTACAGTAATAGCTCAAGTAGTTAGTTGCTGGCTTCCCACCGCGGCGGCCCGGGTTCGATCCCGGATCTGGTCAAGTGGGATTTGTGGTGGTCAAAGTGGCGCTGGGGCAGGTTTTCTCTAAGTACTTCGGTTTCCCCTGCCAATCTTCATTCCACCAATTGCTCCTCAGTCACCCTCACCTATCATCTGGGGCTGGTACAATAGGCCAGATGTGGCTGCAGTACAAGGGATTTAGTCCCATCCCACTAGCAATAAGAAAAAATATGATCTAAAATTTTGTGATCATGTTATGTGATATATAGTCAATAATTGTATCTAGTACAGTAGTTTACAATTATTTAAATAGCTGTTGATTATGCAAGCTGACTGAACGTACTTTATAGATATACCAAAATTATATAAATGTGATGTTTTTAATAATTCATTAATGACATTGTATCCTAAATGATCATTGGTTTTTGAAGGTGTTATGGCATGCATTAAACTGAATCCACCCAATTTACACCGTTTTAAGTACTGAAAGCTAAGTGTACCAGACACTCCAAAACCTGTATTTCCATCCTATATTTTTCCTCATGCGTGTTTGAGAGAGTAAAACTTGTGCTCCAGCAGTGCCTTATTAACCTGACTGAGACCCATCTGTCTGTTTCCAAAGACGAAGAATTCATTTAGAAAGTTGATATCAATCAAGAGCTGTGTTGAAGACTACAATACACAGGTGGGTAAAACACACTGCAGTAGTGTTTTTTGAGGTGGGAACACAGGTGCTACAGCTCGGTTTGGGTAGCCCTGTTACATCATGTGCAAACTTTCAACTGGGAAAGAAGGTGAGGAGCCAGCAGATATTTTGTGCTTCATTTCATTCATCAGCAATCTGTCAGACGACAGGTCCGCTGTCTCTTCCAAAACAGTTCCTCCACTTAATGTGATCACAAGCTTTCTCCTTCAAATAAAAATACCCTCTTCTATTCCCAAAGTCATCCAGCATCTTCTTATGTCTTCTTCCTCGTCTTCTGGTCACTTCTACCTGCCCCTCCGGTTTGTTTTGTCTCCAGAGGAAATATCTCGCATACATGGTATCTCTGTTTATGGAAAGAGACTATCCAAGAAAATTGATAATGTGGTAGCTTTTCCATTTGCTTTCCACATCGCAGTACAACAGCCATTCAAACCACTCTGGTCACGCCTGTTGCTATACGAACTTAAACCATCTCGAGCATCATTTGCTCTGTGCTTCACATCACTTCTGATGACGCTGCTTCCGGCATCAGTTTTTGGTTTTTGGTGTCTCTCTTCGTCTGATGCCTACCCTTTGACCTGTCCAGCAAGGGAGGCCCTGCCAGTAGCTACGCTACCGCTGGTATAGCTCTCAGGGTCCTTGGCATACTCAAACCCCCTCACCACGATAAGGTGGAGACACCAACGAGGGGGATTTTGTGCTTACGATCATAAAAATGTTGCTCAAAATGTATAGAAATAAATAAATACTGATAGGATGTGGATTATGGTTTGCTTCATTGCATTCAGTTGACTAAACCAGAAGAAATTTGTAGGTAGATGAGTTATTTTCTCTGTAATATTGGATTTTCAAAACATATCACAGTGCCTTTGATGATGTACATATCTGGATTTTCTTGGAGTAAAAAGCAAAATTCTTTGTCCTTCCATCTATTTTATAGCTTTTCTCTCAGATTCCATTACTCTTACTGACTGACCTCAAACACAAAAGTAACTGTTCTTTCCTTTCCAGAATTCTTTACAGGCATTTGAGTGACAATTTGAACCTCTAACATCATAAAGGCATGCACATTTGTAGTCATTGTTATAGCCTGACTATAAACAATTTTTTATTTTAAGTTGGGTAGGTCAGTCAGTATGGTGATGAGCTATTATCTGGACAGCCAGGATTTGATTCCTAGCGGGAGCAAAAGATTTTAATTTTTTTCACAGTGTCCAGACTGTATCTGGGGTCCATCCAGCCCCCTACCCCCCAGTGGGTACTGGACAGTATTTCCCTGGGATTGAAGTGGCCTATGCATGAAGATGACCTCTCATGTCCGTCTAATTTTGAGTTCAAGAGTGGTGGAGCTATACCACCACTCCCCCATAAGTTGTTGTGGCACGATGCTTAATTAAGTAAACACAGTGATAATTTTACATTACTTGGGTAATTTTCCATGTAACTATTATACAAAACAGATACTGTTCATTGTTCAGTAGTTCATTAACTTAAGGAAGTGATCTGGCCTTACAACTGATAACCTTCAGAATTAATAAATATGTATTTTGGTCCATCTGTACTGAAGGAATTCTTCTGTAACTTAATAGTAGACACAGCTCCATTACTGTCAGGTGGTTGACCTGCCTTAGTCTGATGAGACTGTTCTGTGTCTGTACCATGTAGGTGTTGCTATAAGCAAGTGGCTTGAAACGCTGATGACATAGTAACTATGTGACTAGTGACAGAGTGTCAGAAAACATGGTGGTACTGCATTATAAACTGTTCAATTTCAAGTTTTTATACCACAGGAGAAATATCTGTCTCACATTCCAAATGTACATAGATTATGATGGGGACTGTGTTCAAATGCTGTTGAGGTTTTTTGAGTTCTGTTTTCAGTGACACATTATTTAGGGTAATTTGGAACATACATACTTTTTGAATGTGCCTCATAATGGTTAAGTGAACTAAAATCCATTTCTAATATCACTTGACATTTGTATTTTGCAGCTCATGGATGGATACTTTGTGCACTTCTTTGCCCCTGAAGATGTTCCTACACAGCCAAAACATATAATCTTCGTTCTAGATACAAGTGGTTCCATGTGGGGTTCCAAGCTTCAGCAGCTTCAGCAGGCTATGTACTCCATCCTTGACAGCCTTAGGAGCAATGATTATTTCAGCATCATTCAGTTTGGCACAAATGTCATGGTGAGTTGTTTTCTTCATGATGTACATTTAGTGAACTTTTGTATTGTTGTTAATGATGCTGTTTTATTATGTTGTGGCTTGTGTATGATCCCTGACCATGGTCTCTGATCATCTGACAGAAGTGAAGGTAGGAATCCATGCTTTGATTGTAAGCCCCAGTGGGTAGATATTTTACCCACAGTTATATATTGGTAGGATGTGATATGCAGGGCATGTAGCACAAATGGGGACAGAGGAATATATGTAGGATATGGGTCGAAAGCCAGAAGGAAAGAGGCCAATAGGAAAATCAAGATGTAGGTAGGTGGATAATATTAAAATGGATCTTAGAAAGATAGAATAGGGTGGTATGGACTGGATTGATCTGACTCGTGGTAGACACCAAAGGAGGGCTCTTGTGAACATGGTAAAAAATTTGCATTTCATAAAATTTTGGGAAATATTTGAGTAGCTGCAGAAGTGGCAGCTTTTCAAGAAGGGCTCAGCACCATCGAGGTAGTTATATAGATTGGCAGCAAAAATGTAGATGGCCAAAAAATGAGAGCTTAACCTTTTTCCGTGGCCGTGCCATAGATCAAGCGGTTAACCACTGGCTTCCCACCGCAGCAGCCCGGGTTCGATCCCAGGTCTGGTCAAGTGCAATTTGTGGTGGACAAAGTGGCTCTGGGGCAGGTTTCCTCCGAGTGCTTCGGTTTCCCTTGACAATCTTCGTTCCACCAATTGCTCCACAATCACCCTCACCTATCATCTGGGGCTGGTACAATAGGCCAGAAGTGGCAACAGTACAAGGGACCTAGTCTCACCCCACTAGCAACAGAAAAAACCTTTTGCCATGTGTAGTGCAATATATTGAAAAAAGAAATAAGAATTGAAGAAAGAAGGGAATGTACCAAATATTAATGCTAACATTTAAAAATTACACTTCTATCCTGAATAATCTAGGGAAATCAGTAAAAATAATCATAAGTGACTGAAAGATAAGTTTTTAAGCAAATTTGATGACTATCTTAATCTAAAAAAAAAAGGATTAATTCTCTGCATTCTTGATTTAACTAGTAAATCCCAGCCTGCAATATTTACTTTTATTTATTTGTGTACACATTTATTCTTTTCCGGATTAAAAGTTTCAATCAGTAGACATAGCTAACAAAATGTGTTGTCAGATTCCAAAATACTGATTGTTATTGCTTTTTTTATGTAGGAATGGTCAAGTCGTCCACAAGACATAGTTGGACTCAGTAGATACAGCATGACACATGAGGCCACAGAGACCAAAATCACTAAAGCCAAACAGTTCATTAAATCGATGGAAGCTTCTGGTGGTAAGATGTATTTATTATTTTGCTGCTTCCCAGTTTGTTGAATAATACCGCAGTTACTGCAGAAATGGCAGGACTATTATGAATGGTGATTGGAAGTTTGATCTTTGTGAGCAATAGATTTAAAGTTACAAAAACTCAAATAGTCCCACGTTCTTCTGTTATCCTTTCAAAATTATCATTTGTTACCATCCTTTATTTGTGATTTGACTCTATGAAACTTTAAATAATCAAAGAAACAAAACATATGTAAATATTTGGTGCAGCAGTGATCATTTCAGAATAATTTTTTTCAGTACAAAACATTTTGATATAAAGTACAAAAAAATGATTATTTGAAAGCATTTAAATAAATAAAATCTGGCTTGAATTATGTATAAAATTTTATTATATGCTGGTTACCAAAATTATAAGCATGTAGTGAATTAATCTTCACGTTAAATGTTTTAAACAATTTTGGTATACATAATGAATTTTCAGTACAGTGAAAGCATGCTTTAGTGAAAAAATGGCAGTTTAAATCATTCCATATCTGTGTTAACATTGTTTGCCATTCTTATTCCATTTTCTTTCATGCTGTATGGTACTTAATTAGAATTATTCACTATAATAAACAAAAGCATGAACTATGCACTATATATTTATCTTCCTTCACCATTTCCATTTGAATAACAGACCTACCAGCATGTATTCTAAATTTAATACAATAATTTTGTAACATAAAATGAAATTCTTACTTTGTGCAGTGACTATGAAGTGTACTGTCTTCTGGCATGTAATGACATGTAGGTCAGTAGAAGTTCACTGATGTACTGTCAAGATATGAGTTGACTTCTACCAGACTACACAACATTGTATGCTAGAAGATAGTATTCCAAGCTGTTTATGAATTGCAGGCACAAATATCAGTGGAGCACTGAGAAAGGCACTGCAGCTGGCTGCTAAGCAACAATATGGCTTTCCTGAAAAAATGGGTGAAAACTTGAATTTAGGATCACAAGGTCAACCACAGCCAATGCTGGTGTTCTTGACAGATGGAATTGCAACTGTTGGTGAATTGCTGACATCTAGAATCTTGGCACAGGCACGAGCTCTCAACTCAGAAATCGGGGTACTGTATTATCAACAAAAATTATCTTTATGCTTGTTATTGAAGAATTACTCTTTATAATACTGGACCGAGCTAGATCAGTCAATAGACATATAGTGACTGGCTACAAACTGACTAAGCCAAATGACTTTCCTATTCACCATGATGTCCAGGCTATCTTTAGATCTCTGCTGATTTCTCTAAAATGTCTTCATAGCACTGCATTATCTCCCAAAGATAAGATTAACAACAAACCTCCATGGAAACCTAATATTAAGTAATTTCTTTTTTCTTAATTTAGGCACCCATATTCAGCCTTGCTTTTGGTGATGCAGCCAATTTCAGATTCCTGAAAAAGCTATCCCTGCAAAATCATGCATTTGCCAGGAAAATTTATGAAGCATCTGATGCAGCACTGCAGCTTCAGTCATTCTACAATGAAATAGCATCTCCTTTGTTGGCAAATGTCTCTTTCACTTATCTGGACAGCAAAGTAAGTAGCCTTTGATATTATTGTTTAACAATTTAATTTCTCTCATTCAAAAGTTTTGTCCTTTTATTATCATGATTTCTTGTTGTGGAAACCTATTCAGTTATCATAATTAATTTCAAGAAACTGTGTCCATTTTTGGAATCAGCTTACCAAGAAATTCTCTGTTTTTTTATAGAACCCAAAGATTCATTCTCAGGGTTCCATCGCTTAATCTTAAAGATAACCTCTATGTTTGTTTACTTTATTGTACATCATAACATCAACTGTTGATGATATGTAGTTTCTTTCTTTTCTGTCTCTCTGGATTGCCTCTGTAATGGTTTTCATAAAATATGTTGAATCGTAATTTACTAAGCCAAAAATATTTCTTTAAGGTTCTACTTTTTAGTGACACAAGAAAATGTTGGCATTTTTTAGGCTAACTCTAAAACTGCTAGTTTCCTCCAACCTCATTCTGCAACTGCATACATTCTGACCCCTAGCTACAGGTAGACTAATTCTGTTTCAAATTATAACACAGTTCCTGGCTATCCTGTCTGAAGATTTTCATGGCTTTCTTCAGTCTCCTCAGGAGAATTCTAGACTAGTGCCTTTAAATGGACATCAACCGACTCCTTCCATGTCTTTATTACTCAGCATTTATGATCATCTTCGAATTTCATTCAACACTATTTATGACCTTTGTAACTGGAAGAGCATGGTCATACAGACAAGAATAAGTGAAGAACAAACAAATGATATGTAGAGGAGTAGGCGAACAGAAGTTGTAATGAACTGTTTGAAGAAATAGGGAAGATATCAATAAACATCAAACATCAATAAACAGCCAAAGAAAAACCAAGTTGGCAAACAAGTATATGTCAGCTTCATTATAGCTGAGAAGCTGCCTGGCTGCTGTTTGGTACAGCAACTCTTGAAGTGGTAATACCAGTCAAAACAAGGATATTAGTCAATGTTTAGTGTAAGGCTAGTTTCTGTTAAATGAAGAAACTGAACAGTTAAATAGTTTAAAGGGCCCTGTGGTTTCCGACACTTGTTCTAGATTTGCAAGATGTGGTCTTCAATCATGGTTCCATTGACCATGTTATAAATTCAGGCTAATAATTTATAATTTCATGGCATCTACTCCTGATATTTTTCAGGTAGACAAGGTCTCACTCACCACTAACCATTTTCATTCGTACTATGGTGGAAGTGAAATAATAGTAGCTGGAAAAGTCAGCAGTTCTAACAAGGGTCAGCAGGATGAAGATCTGGGAGCACAGGTCTATGCTTGGAATGGAGTTGAGCACAAGGATGTGTTATACAAGCCCCTATTCACTTCTACAAATAACCCAGTAAGATTAAATTATATAAATAAAATGACTGGGTGGATGGACAGAGGATGAATTGATGAGTGAACAAATGATTAGGTGTGAGTTGGTTTGCAGCAGATTGGGTGGGTGGATGTATGGATTGGTAAATGGATAGATGGACTGAGGTGTTTAATATCTATTTGGGTGGAGGGATGGTGGCTTAGAAGATGGGTGGATTTATTGTTTTGTTGCACATAGAATGTATTTTGTGATACCTGGAAATGCAATAAATTTGGTGTCAAAATTTCTTAGAATAATAAATATTTTCTTGCAATGTAAGATTTGAGGCTTTCACGGCGGTGACTATGAAGAAAGCAGTCTTCTGGGATTTGGTTAACACCACATATACACGGTGCCAAATCCCAGAAGACTGCTTTCTTCATTTTCTTGCAACTTTAAAATTATCTCAGTTATACCTAGTTTCATTCCAGATGCTTGATAAATGGGGATAATAAGTATTATTTTCTTCAGACTGAGCGACGAAGAGACAATTATATTGGGTCACTAGAACGATTGTGGGCATATCTCACAGTGCGTCAATTGCTAGATGAACATCTGGCCTCCATTGATGAAGGCAATGATCCTGTGAACTTGTTTGCAGAGAAACAAACACACCATGAAGACTGCAGTCCAAAGGCAAAGGCCTTGAGCCTGGCTTTAAAGGTTGGTGTCTTAACATGGCTTTCCATGCTGTCCTTAGTGGCAGAAAAAAATACAGTTTCTTGAAGGAATTGTTTTCTCATTTTTGCTGATTGAAAACAACATTCACATGCATAAAAATGAATTATTTAAACATGCTAATGTGAGATCTCTCTGTACAATGTCAGTTACAAGTAAGGCTTTGAACCTGAATATGTAGAAAAATTACATTCACAGTTCCACACTCGAGAGATACCAGTTCCTAGTATCTGACTTTGAATGGCTAGTATAATAAGTATTATGAGAAACTGCTTTTATATATGGGTAGCCATGTACTCTTATGAAGGGCATAATGGGGTTCTACCTAAATAAGACATCTTGTGACAAAACGTTTTTGGTGGGGAAGGATGACTTTTATTCATGTACATTTCAAAGTGCATAAAATGAATACATAATACATAACTGTTTCTCCAGCAATCTGCATGTTTGATTTCCCAGGCCACTTACTATGGTTTGATGGAATTATATATGGAGGGTCTCCATTAAGTGTTGGGTGAATATCAATTTTGACATCATCGAACTGAATTTTTATTTAGTTTTGAAAATGAGTCATACAAAAAAGGGTGTATGGCTTAAAGTATAGCTCTCACATAAAATGTAATTATTAAGAGCAACTGTACTGATGAGCTTTATTGTCGTCACATTATCTTCAGTAAATGAACAGAGAGAGCAAATAGGAATGCAGAATCCCAAGTAATTTATTTGGAAATTCTCTGTGTTTTAAAATGTAGTACATCCTTTGATCCTTGTTTTGAATTAAAATATGTTTACATTTATATTTTATTTTTCACTGAATTTTAATTTAATTTGCTTAACAAGCCTTGAATTTTCATTTATTGTATGGTTCAACAAGTATGGATTTGTGACACCACTCACATCTCTGGTTGTGGTGATACCAAAGAATGGTTCTGAAGGTGGGGTGTCTGAGCTGGTGAGAGATCGTGTTGGCAGCAATGAGCTTGATCCAGTTCCATTTTTAGAGTCAACACCTCTTCACAACAAAATCAGTAAGTTGTTCAGGAGTTATTAATATAATTTTCACATTTATTATCATGATTATGTTTCCAAATAGTCTGAGGCACATATGGTCTTAGACACAGAGATTGTGGGTTCAAAACCCACTCTGGGAATTCATATACATTGGCCTTCTTTCTGTTCTGAATTGACGTTTGTAAATCAAGGCCTCATGAAAAGTGCATTTGCCATTCAAGGAATCCTGCAAAAGGTGTTCAAGGATTCATTACTTCAGATCTCAGTCTGAATCAGAACAGGCCAGATGGCCTAATCTAGCACAACTGAATAATAACAATTATGATTATGACTGCTATTATTATTGTTACTGGTGCTAATATAATGCTGCTTTTTACAGTGCCCATGTTGCCCGTTCATTTCCGGCCACCGGCGCTGGCCATTAATCCCATGGAAGAACTTTCTACAGATCTTCCTGTTACAACAACCAGTGCTCTTAATGGTATTCATACATATTTCGTTTTTAATCTAATGGACAGTGGGTCTTTGATGGTCTCATACCTGTTTACCTACAGTGAACTAATTCTCTAAGTAACTAATTATCCCAAACTGACTGATTGATTGATTGATGCAGTCTTCTTTAAGGATTGGTATTTATTTATCTGTTCAACATATTGACTATTGTTATTGAATAAAAATATGAAAGACCACTGTGTACCTATATTCTGAGACAAATCAGTCCAGTTTAATTTTCTAATAGTTAAAATTATGACACTGTCATTATTTAGATCATATAGTTTCAAGTACTAGGATGATTAATGAATATAAAGTTGTAAATGATGTGAAAAGAGATGCTTTTGGTCTAATTTGAGCACTATTCTGGCACATACCTAGAGGGACTGATGAAAATCACAAAAACCTCCATAAGGGTAGCTTATTGTATGTGTCAAATCCAATAAGGGCCTCCATGGACAGTGCTTTCCAGAACATACATGTACTAAGTAACACTTTACAGAGACTAAGGTAAAAGAAAAAAGGTAAAGCTATCCCTGCAACAGGCCGTGAAGGCCCATAGGGTTGTGACATGTCAAGAACCCCACATTTTCTCTAGACAATCGACTCACAGATCATGGTAAGGTTGTCAGCCTTATGTGCTGGCCATCCTTTACTCCCCAGGAAGATTCCTGGTACTCATTTCTGTCATAGGCTGAGTCGACCTCAGGACCATAGTGCAGCTGGAAGGATTAGGTCAATTGAAAAAAATCCACCTCATCAGGACTGAAACCTGTGACCTTCCAGCTTGTAGCATAGTGCCTCAACCAACTTCACTTCCACATGCCCCCACTTTATGGAGACTAAAATATATAAATTGTATAAATTATGGGGTATAATGTCATACATTCTGGTGATAATCAACAGATGCTTCAGAGGAACATATTGCCTCCGTCCTCAGGGTCAAATAGTAAACCAAACATGAAACTGGCATAAAATAGACAGAAAGCTGAACTGCCTGCTTCACACTTGTTTTTGTTTGACTTACTCCCTGTCTGTGATGATAAAGGCAATATGTTCCTTTGAAACATCATGTCATGCTTCTATAACAACATTATACTCCTAAAGATTTCTGTGCTTCATTGTGTCTCTGTGGTGTTGTTAATAGTTTTGCATGAAGACCCATGTAGGAACAATTGACATTTCATGAAACTTTTTAGAATCACTGTACTTGTCTTTGAGTTATGTTCTTTGCATTTAGGTTTGTCCCAAGCAACTAACTACACACTGACAGATGTATCATGGCTGTTAGACTACATTGATTCTGAGAATCGAATCACTGTGGCAACCAATTACAGCCTGATGAACAACTCAACCTTCCTGATTGGTGAATTTCCCACAAGTTTAGAGGTGAGGTGGAGCCTTAGGAATGATGACTGGAATAACCACAGTAAGATTTGCTGCTGTAACCATAATTAACATTCCTGCTTCAGTATTTATAACAAAGTGCATATAGATTTTGCTTATCTAAAATCCTACCTGCAATAACACTATTGTGATTACCACCACCATCATCACCATCATCATCATTGCCACTGTCACCTGCCACCACCACCCGCCACCGTCACTGCCTCTGTCACCAGCACTGCCGCCAACACTGGCACCACTGCCACCACCACCACCACCATTTCCATCATTGTACAGAATGTCACATTTCACTGTCTAACACACATTCCAGTTATATTCCCACTAAATGCTAACAAGTCTTTGTGGATTTCCTCAGACCCTTCTAACAAATCTGAGGTACAACCATAAAATAAGACACAACAACTTCCCTCCACATCCTTCGTAAATCATTATGTATAAACATGCTTATGACTAAATGCTTAATAGCCTAAACTGTTCAGTTGAGAAAGCATCGTTAAAATAAATGAAAACACCATCACCATCGTCATCAATATCATTGTCATCATTGCCATCATAGTAACTGTTCTTGCTTCATTTTACTGGATAAATGATACAAATTGCATTGTTCACTACTTCAAACTAAGTTAATGCTTTATACCTGAAAAATAAGCAGATGTCACAGTAAGTATTCAAATCCATTCCTTAGTTCATTAATTCTTAAATTATTAAAAGATGTTGTTGGAAATATGAAAGTTTTATCGCTTCATTGAGAATGACATATGACCTCAAAATTATTAGGTGTATGAGGATTTCAAAGGAAGGGGTTTTGACGTGTTGGAATACACTCTTCAGGGTTACTTCAACATCGACTGTGAGAGGGTGATTTACACAGCTTTATGATTTTAACATTTCCACTATGTCATTATCATAGTATAAGACAGTAGTATGACTTAGAAACTGATTAATTTTGAAGTGTTAATAAATATACTCTGTTTCAGCTCCTCTGAATGCAAAAAAGTGGTGTCTGGAATGTTGTCTGTTTGCATTTAAGTATGTGCCTGAACAATGAGACAGATCATAATATTATATTAAAGCATCCTGTCGCATTGAGGTTCCATAGTCTATCAAATTTTCCGTCTATAATGTAACAACCAATAACACTGATTCACACTTTAATCAACACAGTGGTTGTTATGTGCATAAGATGTTATTAAAACTAATAAAATATTAAAATATGTATGCATTATTATAATGCTTCATGTTTCAGCCATATATGGCCATCTTCAGGCAACACATATATGAGGAATCCTAATTCACTGCATCCTAATCGAGTATCATTTCTTTTATTACTTTTATTTGGTTTTTGATGTTTTCTTCCTCATATGTTATATATAGTGCAGCTGTTTCTGTATTTTGCTGTTGTGCTTTTGATTGTGTATCAAGTGTGCCTTTGCATTCACTGTATTGATTACTTTGTTTTCAGCATTAAAGGATGTATCTATCACAGACCAGTGCCCATTGGGCATGAGCACTGTGGCTCCAGAAACAGGGGCTCTTCATAAGGGTCTCCAAAATATGAAGCAGCAATTTTCTTAAGAATGGCTGCAATGATTAGTTAAATTTCAGTAATTTATGAAGAACATCTCCTAAATAAGACTGCATAGGTAGTATTTTTAGAAAAATAATAGTACAACCTTCAGCAGCCCAAGCACAGAATGATAGTTTTCTTGCAAGTGGCTTGATCAGTTCTGATTAAGCATAATCATCTATAGTGTCACTAAACCTAAATAATATTTTGTAGACAAAAACGTTCTAAATGAGCCTAAGCAGGGCCCAATAATTAATTTTTGAAAGGCTGTAATGGTTTGCATTAAAGTTCACCAATTTTAAATTTTGATATCAAGGACTAAAAATCATTTATAGTTAAAACTGATAATTTTTCTGAAATACTTGTTGTAGGATAGTAGAAGGATATGAACCATCAAGAATATTGTTGGAATTCTGACAGAAACTTGATACCTAGTGAAACATTTTTTTTAAATAGGCCCCTGAGAATACAGAAGACTGTACTACCCCTGGTGGAGAGATTGGGAGTTGTCGCAGCTTGCCAACTTGTGTGCAGGCAGAATTTATGGATGATTATGAGACTTTTCTCAAGTACTTTTGTGCCATTGGAAGGTAATCTCTAGAACTGTGCAGAATTTTCCATTTTATGAGTATAAATATAGATTTTTGTGAAGGGAGATTTTTTGGACATTGTCTGTTCTCTGAATAAAAAAATATCCAACAGTTTTGAGGCAGGCCCTATATTCATCTCTACGAAGAAGCAAAGATGCCTGAATTTAGGTACGCATTAATTAAAACTGCTCCTTATCACTAGTCATTGATACATATCAAATTCGCTCTGTATATAGAAGTAAAAGTGTGCAGATCTTAGGGGGTACGTAGCAGCAAACAATTAAGTAGGCATATCAAATTAGATGATAAGGAATGAAGGAAAACACAATGGACAGTTCTATAAAATACTGTTATGGGATACTATACCAGTCTCAGAAACCCTTACAGTCAAGTTCATTTTTATGTAAGGTTGGTTGTATATTGGTTTAGAGGTCAGATGAGGGTGTTCTGTGTTAAAAATCTGAAGTTTGAAACCAGCCGGGTCCAGTTTTGATTTTCTGTTGTTTTCCACTGCTTCACCTCCAACAAATAGAAAATTTATGAAAGTGAGGAATATTGGGCTGTCATCACAGTTTGTAGCCTGTATGAAGCTGTAGGTTTTCTCTGCCAGCTACCATCAATAAATCAGCAGTATGGGATTCCCCCTCATATGAACCCTTACCTCATCATTTTTCAAGTGGCACAGATCAGAGGGAAGGAGATGACATTTACAACAACAACATTTGTATGAAAAGAATGAAAGAAGGCCACTATAATGTGCACATTCTCTTACTTTGTATCAGCTGTTCATGTACATTTCTGCTTATTTGGTTTCAAACAATCTAGCACAAAGCATATATTTAGTTAGTCAATGATATTTTGATTTTAAGTGAATCAAAGGCTGGCGATGAACAACTATGAGACTTTTCATGAATACTTATATTTCATTGGGAAGAAAGCTATACAGTATTGCAGAATTTACCCTTTTATGAGTATTAATGTGCACTGTTACATTAATTCTCATTTTACTTGCCATATTCATGGGACAGCAAGAGGACATGGGAACTTATTATCAATTTAGAATGGAGATAGTGATTTGAATGATTTGATTAGTTGTTATTATTCTTCCAGATTCTTTTTATTATTGTTTACATTAAGAGATCTGTGGAAATACTAGAAATCAGGTCCAATGTGTTTTGAATGCTAGGCTTATGGTCCAGTGGGTAGTGGCCAAAGTTTGAAGGATGACAGATTTGATCCCATTCATTACCAGTATAGTGAAAACCAGTCACTTGATTGTGGGAGAAGTTCCAGCAGCTGAGACGCTGTGTTAGTCACCCATACATCTGGCAGTGGACAGAGTCCAATATAATTGTGATGTAACTGCATGAAATCTCCCTCTATTTTTACATACCTGTAAGAAATATTCATGTATGCTAAATACTTCAGGATGATCAGTAAACATAGCCTTAAACATCTTAAATGTAAGTTTGCAAGCAAATTTTCTAGCTGCTCCCCCCCACCCACGAAAATTCCTGGTGGCACCTGTGATTATCCATGCATCTCTTCTCCTTCGCATCAAACATCATTCACTCATTTGTCTTTCTTGTTGCAGATATGCTGGTGTTTGCTGTCCATATCGTATCTTAATTTACGACATTTCACTCACAACTGGATTACCAGCCATGGATTAAATATCAATGTAGGAAATGTTTAACATCACGTGATCTGAAAAAGGAAGACTTATCTTATTGCTGGAGTTTCAGTATATATTGTCTCCTACTGACTCCAGAATTCTAATAAGGTTGAAGTGGAACTTCAATTGGATTCTTTCGTGGGCTTTAAAATCATATTTCTGGAAATTCGTTTTGTTCTTTGCATTCAGAGCATGAATAAATGAGTATAGACGAGGTTGTGTCAGTCTGTATATCTATCTCATCAATGAATGTACTTAATAGGTTTTGTTATAATTTGGTACTGGAAGTTCATATCAAACACTGTAGAATTAAATTAATTTTGTCATATTAATTCTCTGAGCAAGCTAGCTTAGGTAGTAACACTTCTGACTTCTATTTTAGAGGTGTCTGGTTCAGATCTCGACTGAAACACCATGTATCTTGACTGAAATTTGTTACGATTTTCCTTAGTCCCCCCCCCCCCCAGGCAAATTTCATAACGGAGCTTTGAAACACACCATGACCATTTCTTTCTACATCCTTTCCAATTCATTAATTACCCTACCATTCAGTGCTATAAAGTCTGAGTTACTAACAGCATCATTAAATAAACCACAATTAAATTAACATATCAGTCCAATAAAACCCGTCAAATGATTCAAACCAAACCTCTACACATTTTCTCAAAAATAGTTCACCGAATAAAGAATCATATTTGGCACAAAATATGGATTGAATTAAGATCCACTATTTTATTGAAATACAGAAACTCCCTTGTTATGTGGCATATAAAGAGTGTCCCAGAAGGAATGTGCCAGACTTCGGGAGGGTGTTCCTTATATTAAAGTATGCCGATATAACCCGAAACACCTATGTCCAAAGTTGAACAGTTACAGAGATAATGGTCAGAGAAGTGTGAAACTTTGACAGGTGTTACACACTTGTTGATTACCAAATACATATTACAACTGGCAGGAATATGTGGTTTCTGTAATGTTAATAATGTACGTAACATCAAACTAACTTGTGAGTGACATGAAGCCATTAAATTGAACTACAAAAAACTTGCACTCCATGTCAAACTTGTCGTTAAGAGTTCCAAGCACTATACATAACACATGAATGGCAAGCACTGACGTAACATTGCCGACTGTGCATTCTGGTGTGCAAGTGTATGGGGCTAATGTGAGCTGTCATCACCACACTCAAGGACAAACATAGATAAGACTTGTCAGCTGACAGGTACAGTGCGTGGACCCACAAGAAGACCACACTTTTCTCAGGCCATTATCTCCGTAGCTGTTAAACTTTGGACATAGGTGTTTTGGGTTTTATCGGCATAGTTTAACATAAGGAACACCCTCCTGAAGTCTGGCACATTCCTCCTGGGACACTCTGTATAGGGAATGGAGATGCCAGTTACATGAATCTGCTAGTTGTGTGAGAAAGAAACACAATACAGAGTCAAAACGCAAATTTTGGCTTCAATTCTTGCGCATGTCTTCCTAGGAAACACAGTAGACTAAGGAGTGAAAGATTTTGGACACATGTTCTGTATCAAGATCACAAATTCAACTAGCCTCTGCTGTAATGTTAATTTCATGAAGGAAGATGATGAACAGCACTGCTACTAGTGGCTGTGACAACAGTCTCATGGTGGGTGAATACATATGCACATTGCATTCTTCTCAGCTGTGGTATGTCCTTGAAGGCTGCTGAGGCAATGTCCCATATTATTTTTGGAAATCAAGAAACTTTACTTTGTGTTGGAATGATTAATAGTGAGGAACTAGTAATAATCGTTATTATACTGCCATGAGGCTAGTTAAGAGCTGTATACACGAGGAAGAGTCAGTAAACAGGTCACAAATGGAAGTAAAACAGATCTAGCATAGTTTAACATAAGGAAATGTGTATTACTAGATTTTCTATGTGTATTACTACGTATCATCACAGTTCAGCTTCATGACACCCTAGGTAGCAGGCGCACAGGCGCACATGTTCAGAGACTGGTTTCGGTAGTCAAAATGGCGACAGTGCTTGAAGAGTGCATTACCAAAGTGCAGCTTTCTGTTACATGTTTTTATGGGCAAAAGGATGCATCACAAACGATATTCATAAAGAAATGCTTCCTCTTTACAGCGGGAAGTATTTGTCGCATAAAGCGATTCACAGCTGGGTCGAGATATTCTCTTAAGGACATTCGAAAGTCACAGATGATGCCCGACCAGGCCACCCTATTGAGATTGTGACAGAAGCAACTTTGCAGCAGGTGGAAGAGTTCATTTGAGCTCATAGGAGGATAAGGATAGACAGTGTAGCAACTGCACAACGGTGTTCCCATGATTTAGGAGACAGCATGAGCGTGTGAAGTTTCAGAAAATATTCGCACAGTGGGTGCCCAGAGAACTGAAGGATCGAGGAGACAAAATGAACCAAATGGGTCTGTCCTTGCAGCATGTCTTACGGTATGCAGATGAAAGAGAAGATATGCTTAACGGAATTGTTACTGGGAATGAATCATGGGTACATCACTACGAACCCATTTAAATGGGTGCTTCAATGCAATGGAAGCATCCCAGAGGATATGTGGAGAAATAAATGTTTTTTCAAGGTTCGAATATCACATGTTTTACGTTTTACATCCATGTGTGACACATTTGAAAGTAAATGGTGTTGAATATTTGCTATCTGTCATGGAAACACATGTTTCAATTAAGTTCACTCAACTTCATCTGTTCGAGACTCTTATGAACAATGAGTTTCTCTGGGCATGATATGGCCCAGTTATATGAATAACAGTTTCTGGAGTCATGTAGGTAAAATATTCGTACTTCTTTACGATTTTCGTCTGATATATGGGTGACATAATGTTGGTTAAATCGAGTCAGCGTCTGGCAGTCCAAGGGATTAGGACTGCAACATGATCAGCTGTTACATTGCGAATTCGAAGTGCGGGAGGGGGAGAGGGTTGATCGGGTTGATCATGGTAAGTTGGAAAATAGTTACGCTTTTTACCGTCTGAACTCTTGACAATGGCTACTGAATTTATTTGCGTTTACGTAGAGCAATTCATTCCATAATCTGAAGTTTAGATGTCACTACTGCATGAATAGTAATCCTTTCCCATCAATAGCGTTGAGTTGCATATCTATACTCAGTACTGTGCGCAGTGCTGCGTAGATAGTAGTAGCCGTCGTAGTCGTAGTAGCAGTAGGTAGCGTACGCAGGAGCGGTAGGAACTGCATTCGTATTTGTGCGTAAACAGTGGGAGTGGTTAGGCTGACAGCCTGGCGTGACAACACTATCGGTGAGTGGAAGTTACGCACGCATCCCGTACTAATCAGTAGACCTTGAAGTTCGCAAGTTTAGTTGTTCTGTATATCCCAGAATTTGCATGATGCTAATTTTATTACTGATTTATTTGTTTGCTTAACGGTGCTGTTTTTCTTTTCTTTCTTTAAATTGGTTGCTTACCGACCCCTACCGTAGCTCCACGACGAACAACTGCTACGGTCTACGAAGTGCAGTCTATAATTTACGTTACGAAGTATGCGTGTGTCCTTGTGTGCCATGTACAATGCTCCTTTTCGTTTATCATAACCACTTTCCCCATTCAATGACGAAACAGTCTTCATAGTTTTCCCCACAACAATAGGGTAACAACTTTGGTTACAGAAGCAACTTATCCTCAGTAGGACGATAAACCGTGGGAAAACATTGATGAAAATAATTGTCCACGAATTGACCGAAAATGTAGTTTTACAAGATAAAAGAGGCCTTATGCCATTCTAATGGTAGGAAGTAACAATTGTTAGGGTTGCAGTGGATGCTTAGAATGTTGGTCCTTTATTGCCACAAGCTTTGTCCCGACTATGAATGGATTCACGGACGCGCTGGAAAGTGTCAGAGTTCTGCGGGGCGAGCTACAACTAGTTCGCACATGCTGCAGTAGTTGCCCTGTTGTATCCACCGCCGAAGCTTGCGTCATGTTTTTTAGATTTCCCCACGGAAAATAGTCAAGGTCATTTAAGGTCTGGTGAACGAGTTGTTCGAGATCTTCGAGATACTGGTCCCTGCCTTTCTTTCCGTAATCCAGCTGAGGCACTCTCAGGGGTGTGACTGGAATGGACTGGTGCACTGCCATGCATGACCCGCATGCTTCGTCGAATGTGAGGCAGCACTTGTCCAATAACTGGCAAAGTGTGCTCCAAGAAATGTTGATGAGGGCCACTGAGTCTATAAGACAAAACGCATGCTCATAGGAAGCAGTCTCCAACAATACCAGCCCAAACGTTGAATAATAATTGCTCTTAGTGTCTAGATTGAATTGCACTGTGTAGATTTGCGCCATTCCAGATGTGCATGTTGTGGAAATTCAGTATATGGCCCTTGTAAAGCTTGTTTTGTCAGTGAAGAGAATGCGGCTGATGAAGAGGGAGTCTTCGCCATACTGTCAAAGTAGCCATTGTCAAATTTCATGACTTGGACGAAACTCAGGCTCATTTAGAGATCGTACCTGTTGAAAATGGTAGGGCACAGTAACTGTCCATGGAGAACCGCCACACCCTGAAGTGCGCCACGTGTGCGGCAGCTTGCATTTGACAAACGTTGGTACGGGTTTCTCCCCTAGTTATTTCAGTATGCGCCCTTCCGTATCAACTGCTAGTGCACTTCACCGTCATCCGCAGTCTGCGACAGAAGGTCGAGCAGTGCTGCTCATCCTGATTAGATGATCAGGGGCGTGAAAACGTGTGTGGGTTTGGAAATCTACGTTGACGATACCTGTCCACGTACAGCCTTACAGCTGCTGCACCATTACCACGGTACCACGGGTTTCGCAGACGATTAAACACATATCTGCGTGCTCTTGGAACATGTAGTTGTGCGTCTTAAGCACCAACTTAGAGAACAATTACAACGCTGGAAAAAAAAAACACTTGACTTACATGCGGTCCACTGGATATTGACCCTTGGTGTCACGTATTAGTGTTCATGGTCAACTCGCTGGTGAAACGTGATGACTGTATGTTTCGTTTTGAATGGGGAATGTTATAATGATAGCTGTTCACATCTTCACTCTCAACTCCAGTTTCTTTCAAAAGTGTCTCTAGCATGAGTTGCGTTTGTGACCGAAGCTCCACTTTCCTAATGCTGCCGGGAACACTGCATTCACTTCTGGACATGCTGTATAGCGTCATGGTAGGGTGATATGGGAACGATGATGAATTGTAATTATTTGGAAGGAAGCTTAGTGGCCTAATCGAGGTATTATCCTGGCATTTGCCTTGGGGGGGGGGGGCTGAGGAAAGCCACTTGTAAATATAATTTTACTTCATCATGAACATGTTTTGAAAAAGGAGACGATTATAATGGGTTCTGGAGGGAAAATAGACTGGAAAAAAGTAACATTTCATTATTAAATTATGGAGTGTGTCCATTCTATAATTCTGCTGTATCTTGAACATTTTTAGGAAGAAAGATCATGTCGCCTCTGTGGCCTAGTGTTCAGAGTTCCTGTCTACAGATCCAGAGGTCCCGGGTTCGATTCCTTGCGCTACCAGATTTTCTGAGAAGTAGTGGGTCTGGAACGGGGTCGACCAAGCTTCGTGAGGATAACTGAGGAGCTTTTCAAAAAAATAGCGGCTCCGGTCTAGAAAACCGAAATTAACGGCCGTGGGGATCAGCTGCGCTGACTACGTGACACCCTCTATCCGCTAAAATTTGCCACTGACTTCGCCGACCGCCGAGCGGCGGTCTCTCAGTCGGTGTAGTTAGCTTGCGGACTACAGGCCACGGAGTTTGTTTTGTTTGTTTATCATGTCACATGTCGATTGTCACATGGATACTGGCAGTCCGGGTAGCGATGGCGGCTAACTCTTTATTGTCCTCCCAAAAGTAAACATGTAAAGCGCTTTCAGTCTAGGGACCCAAATCTTGATCGTACGGCTGTCATGAATCGTGAGCATTCGTTCATATAACTAAGGAGCCGAAAGTCGCAGTCCACTGAGTAGGACTGCTGCTTCGTACTCGCTTCACATTTCAGAACGGAGACTGGATATCCTGAGAGGTTTCCATAGTTTCCCTCAGTTCCACATTCTTTACATTTAATCTCCTATTTATTATCCTATGATTCGATGTTGTAGATTATAAGATATATTTTCTTTAATGCTAGTGGGGTGGGACTAAGTCCCTTGTACTGCGGCCACTTCTGGCCTATTGTACCGGCCCCAGATGACAGGTGAGGGTGATTGTGGAGCAATTGGTGGAATGAAGATTGGCAGGGGAAACTGAAGTACTCGGAGAAAACCTGTCCCAGCGCCACTTTGTCCATCACAAATCCCACTTGACCAGACCCGGGATCGAACCCGGGCTGCTGCGGTGGGAAGCCAGCGACTAACCGCTTGAGCTGTGTCGCGGCCAGTTTATAAGATAAGATAACCCTTGTGAAAATTGTCTGTAGACGAAGCAGCTCAGCCTTTCACGGCGAACTTGGTGAAGTAACTAATGTAAGTGAAAATGCGTTTAGTCGAGCGACAACTAAATAGAAACCCTTGGTCCTGGCCTTCCAATGAGAAAAATATTATCTGCGTACCAAAGACAGAAACCAGAACTCTGTTGGTATTCACTCTGGAAGCGCATGCGTGAACAGTTTGGGCAAGTGACATTGCCAGATCAATGTTTTTTCTTTTTGGGCCTGTAGCTTTGTCTAAGTGCTACAGGGGATTTTGGCAGATACCAGAGAAGTGAAAATCACGCTCCACGTATAGTTGAATGAATGTGTAAGGGGTGGGCCTTCTTGGCCCTTGCACCGCGACCACAGTGATCTGTTGTGCCTCGTATAGTTGATACACGACTGAATGAGCACTTGCCCTGGCTGGAGGAAGAATGCGGCAGTGATGTCAGATCTTGTATGTGTGTATATGTGTAAGGGGTGGGCCATAAAATCCGGCCCTCACATTGCGACCTTCAATGATCTATTGTGCTTCCCCTTTGGATTAACCCTTTATTAATCCTACACTTCGAATGAAATGTAGGACTTTATTTATGGAGGCGTCATAAAAGTCACTTGGTTCCATGAAGAACTGACCCAGGTGACGAAATCTGAAATAAGCTATGGCCTCACAATCGCCTAGGATATGTGTGGCTGATTCATCTTCTTGTAGGCATCTTTCACAGGTTATCTGTCAGTCCAGTCTGGAAAGGTGCTCTTTTAGGTGGCAGTGTCCAGTGAGTAATCCTACCACCCATCTTAATTGATCTCTATTTAATTCCAACAGGTCCTTTGTTCTTCTGGCAGAGGGTCCTGATATAAATCTTTTTGCCTGTTTGAGTCCAATTGTGTATTCCCAGTGTTTTTTGTGATTTCTAACTGTTCAGTCCCTGATCGCTTTCCTGGCAACTTCTACTGAGATGCCGCAAGCTGGTTCAGATCCTATGAAAAGCTGTTCAGAACCTGCTCTTGCCAGCTGATCTGCGGTTTCATTCCCTGCAATACTCTCCTACTGAGATACTGCAAACTGGTTCAGATGTTCAGATACTGTTCTTGCCAGCAGATCTGCCGTTTCATTCCCTGCAGTACTCTCCTACTGAGATGCTGCAAGCTGGTTCAGGTCCTGTGAACGGCTGTTCAGGTCCTGTTCTCGCCAGCTGATCTGCGGTTTCATTACCTGCAGTACTCTCCTACTGAGATGCTGCAAGCTGGTTCAGGTCCTGTGAACGGCTGTTCAGGTCCTGTTCTCGCCAGCTGATCTGCGGTTTCATTCCCAGAAATGCTCTCCTACTGAGATGCCGCAAGCTGGTTCAGATCCTATGAACGGCTTTCCAGATCCTGCTCTTGCCAGCTGATCTGCGGTTTCATTCCCAGAAATGCTCTCCTACTGAGATGCTGCAAGCTGGTTCAGGTCCTATGAACGGCTGTTGAGGTCCTGTTCTTGCCAGCTGATCTGCGGTTTCATTCCCAGCAATATCCTCATGGTCCTGGCACCCATATTAGTTGAACTATGTTATGTCTGGCCACTTGTATGAGGGATTGGTGACAATCCAAAACCGATTTTGAAGTAATTTGGTGTGTACCAAGTACTTTAATTGCAGCTTGACTATCGATGTCAGATCTTAATTTCAGCTCCAGATGTCAATAAGTGCAGTCTCACACTTGTAGCGTTTGGAGGCCATACAATTACGTCTAGCACAGCTGTGCTCGCAACTGACAACGCGGCTTGTCACCATGTGACTGTCTACTAATATTGTATCAGCACTGGTAAAGATGGTCGATTATATCGCGGCCGGCTGTGTGGCGAAGCGTGACTG